GTGATTTTGATGGCACAAAAACCTGATTTAGTCCAGTTCAATTCTGTTTGGAAAAGTAGTCCCAGGTCATCAAACTGCCCTCGCATCGCAGAAAGCACCATAAAATGGAGGAGACCACAGGACAGGAAAGAACTACTTTTCTTTCTGTAGCCAACACACATTGAAGGTCACTATTCTGTGTTAACTTGAAAAGAGCAAAAGCACTGTTTAACACAGGCTGTCCAGACTCAATTTTAGAGATAGGAAACAGAAATTAGTCAAGTCCCCTAATTTACAGGTGGAAAAACTATTGTCCGAAAGTTTCTTTCAATGAGTCTGTTTTGAACATTTATTGTGAGATATTACCAAGATGCATGATTGTGTATCTCTTCAAGCCAGCATAATATTTATCACACATTATATTTCCTCAAGAAATTCTTAATGAGTAAGTAAACGAATGAATGAATTCACAGACTTGCCCCATGTTAGAAATTAGTAACTAGAAGACCTAGAGCTGGAACACCCGTCTCTTGATTTCCTGTTTACTACTTCTGGGTGAGATCAGAAACGCTTGAAAATAGCTAGGAAAACTCAAGCAGGTTTCTTAGATTAGCTTCTGAATCACTGATTTAAGCCCATGCAGAAAACACAAATGAAGCACTCTGCCTGACTGAAGGCTGTGCCATAGTGTCTCTGAATCGGTCCCTTCCTAGGTATGATGATGTCCCTACTAATGCCTTCTATAAAAGGGCTTTTACCTCCATTCACCTCTTAAACAGCTCCCCCTTCACTTCAGAGGGCCTCTTTCTTTCAAAGTCAAAGTATACAGAGGCCTCGGACCCAGAATTTTATCAGTCAGCCAGTATTAAAAGGTGTACAATGGATTAATGAGGCAAGAATTCTCTCATTTTCTCTTGAGGGACAAGAAAGAGAGGCAAATGTCATTACTTACAGGTATTGTGGCCCACGATGCTCAGAGAGTACTAAGTGTCTAAAATCCGTTTCTAAACACATTTCTCTTCTAGATATACATATTACTATTTTTTATTTTTTATTTTGAAAAAATGTTTGTGGGTACATAGTAGGTATATATATTTATGGGGTACCTAAGAAGTTTTGATACAGGAGTAGTCATCCCCTCAAGCATTTATCCTTTGAGTTACAAATAATTCAGTTACATTCCTTCAGTTATTTAAAAATACATAATTAAGTTATTGTTGACTATAGTCATCCTATTGTGCTATCAAATAGTAGGTCTTATTCATTCTATGTTTTTTCTACCCATCACACTACTGTACTTACCAACTGTAAAAGCTCACGTGATGTGAAGCCCTTTCAGACACCATTCAGCCTTTCTCAACTCAGGTTTCTTATCTGAACTGTAAAATGGGAAATTGTTTGAGTGACTGTCTTCTCAATTCTCCAAAGATAGTACATAACGTGGATCATCCTCTGTTCTTAGGAAAGAAAGCGATCCATTACATGCAATGGATGCTGCAGGGCAGTAGGACTTACTTTCTCTGGAAAGCCTGGCTGAGAAACATGCCACGGTAATCCAATATACCTACAAATTGTGAACACATCACAATTGTTCTTACCACACACCCACAATTCCAAAAAAAAACAAAAAAAAAAGTTGTCCTTTACAATCTCTTAACAATGAAAATGGCTGCATTACTTCCAAAATTTTTTCAGAGGAAAAAATTCATTTGTATTCATGTTATTAAAATATATTTTTTTAATTTGGAAAGCATAACAGGAAGATTAGCAAATCTTTTTAGATATGTAAATTATAACTCACACAAAAATAGATTGCTGGTCTGTTTGCTATGAAGAATATTAAACGGATTTTGTAGGCACGTTAGACCAAACTGTATTCCTTTGAGGTATTTGGGAAGTTATTTCTAACTTTTCAGTTAAGCATCAAATAGTTTCAGACTATCACCCTCTTAGATGCCTGGGAGGATATGGCAAAGAAAAAGCACTTTGCATATTTTGCCAACAGACTGCTGATTTTTTTTTTCTTTACTTACATTGATTTCTATCTCAGGCAAAACAAAAGTCACTGATTTGTCTCATATCATTTCATTTTGATCACTTGTTTACAATTGGAAAATCAGCTTATAGTTGGTAAAATAGAGCAGAGGCAGAGAAGGAATTAACATTTATAGAATGCCTGCTACGAGCTTGGCATAGTGCTGCGTACTTTGCACATATAATCTCACCTAATCCCCAAGAGGTAAGTGGTTTTATCATTTCCCTTCTACAGATTAAAAAAGCGAGACTCAGATTCACACAGTCATTAGCAACACAGATTCAAACAAATTTCCACGATTTGTATGTTCAGAATTATTCCAGGAATCGGCACATCTTTCTCCAATAATGACTGAAAACTAAATTAGGACACTTTACTTATTTTTCAATTTTTATCCCTTATTATTCAGCAGACAAACTCTCTGCCAAAATATGACCACATTTGACTTGCTTCCACATAAGATCAAAAGAAATGGGGATCAGTAAGATGAAGAAATGGAAATTCATGAGTGAAACTGTAAATTTGACCCTTTTGCCGTGACCAGTTCAGATGTGCAGTGTTCCCAAAGAGCCGCTGAGCTGTGTTCCACGAGAAAAGAAGGTCAAAAGTCAGAAGACCGGAGCACCCATGTCCTTAGAATGCAGATACTGTATATAGAATATAGTTAGATGATTTAATTTTCTTCGTTTATTCTTAGTTTATGGTGAATATATCAGCTTGGCTGAGAATTATTTTCATTCCTTCATTCATTTGAAAATTTTGGTTTTATTGATAGTCTTTAAGTAGGTTCATAGGAATTAAAAAACATGGGCTTATGTCTCAGCCAGCACAAATGCCTGGTGTTCACTCTTACACACAATTTAACCTCTAGAAAACCCACTATCCCCTGCCTCTCACAGACTGCTTGGGTCTTACCCCTCCTTCTCAAGGAGTCTTACAGGAACTGCTACTAGAGAAGACAGAACAGTAGCTAAAGCATGTTCTTTTGTCTATAAGCACAATGCAGAGGCACTTTAAGAACAGGAAAGTCTTTCTGCTGAGCCTCTTTCAATAAAGCATTAATATTTATTAACTTGCACTCTGCTGTACAATGAATGTTTTATGATCAAAAACAAGAAGCAACAAAATGGAAATTTTAACCACAAGCAACCTACTCTTCCAGTGATAAGGAGCTCAGGATGGGGTTGGCAAACCACTGTCTCTGTGTTTCGGGGGACTCTTATGCAATCATCTAGACAAAGGAGTCATTGACTACTGCTCCATGCAATTACGAGAGACAGTAATCAAAAAGTTATAGACTTCTTTTATCAGTAAGAGCCAACTAAAATGAAGCTGTGAATTAACCTTAAATCAATGCTGCATTAACAAATTCTACATTAATGCTACATTGATAAATTAACATTATAGCAATACTACATTAAATTAATGCTACATTAACAAAAAAGTCCTATATATTAATAGGACTAGGCTTTTTCAGAAGCTCAGAATTATATACACATTTTACATTTAAATTAGATCAATCCTTAAACAATTCAGAAAAGAAAGGATTTTTTTTTCAGTGTTGGACAAAAGCATGTCTGTCTCGTTTGCCTATTCATTCATTCATTCATTCACTATTTATTAAGTACATTTTATTTGTCAGGCACATAGAAATGTGGGATTTTGAATCAGTTTCAAGGTCTAAAAAAATGACTTACATGAGTTCTTCACTATTGAGGACTGCCCTTATAAATCACTTTGTAATTCCTTTAACAAACTACTCAATCTTACTACAGCTTTTTATAGTGAGTTATTACATACTGAAAAAGAACAAGAGCATCTCGACTCTATAATTAATGTACACACTGCACAAAGGCACAAAAATAAAAATTCAGTAGCATTTCTTTCTTTCCTGTGAATTTTGATGATTCAGTACAGTGATAGCTGTACTGAGACCGTGTAACAATTAGCCTGTTGAATATTCTCTTTCTATAATCTTGAGTGAAGTTCTTACCTAAATATTTTAGGAGTAGATTTCCAACCCATCATCTTATGTTTCCACTGGGTCTAAGCAGTGTGAGAAAGGAACATAAGCATAGATTTTTGGAATCAGGCAGACCTGGGTATGAATTCTGATTGTGTGTGTGGTAGACTCTCAGAAAAATTACTTTACCTCTCCATTTCTTGGTTTCTTCACCTACAAAATGAACACAAGAGCATCTACTTTTCAGGATCATCGCAAGGAATATAGATAATATGTATAGAGCAACTAGCTCACAATAGGTATTGCTGTTCTTTTTATACAAAAAAAAAAAAAAAAATCTAAAAGGCCGCACTGAAATTGCTCTATTTTAAGTAGTGTAATTCACCATGAAATTAAAATAACAACAAAAAAGGTAGAATGAGACAGAGTTGAACATTTTGGGCCTGATTCATATCTGTCTCATGAGACAATTATTTTCTATTCAAGATTTCCGCCTAAATAAGGTATCTAGTAAGAACAATGCTGTTTTTAAATAAGAGACCTTCAAATTACTGAATGGGATTGACAGAAAGGATCACATTTCTCCTAGCTCCCCGCCACTGTCTCCAGAATTATAATTGTTCTGCTGTGCCTATTAATGTGTGGACATGATAAAGAAAGGAAAGAAACACACTAACAAGATGGTAACATTATTTTGGGCTCATTAGCAAATAGAAGGTTGACTTCAAAATGAAACAACAAACTAGCATGCCAGCTTTTTAGTACAGTGAGAGCACATCTCTATTTTCTGCCTCATTTCAGCAAGTAAATAAATATTCATTTAAGCACAGTCTTGCCTTGAATAACTTTTGCCATAAATCTTGCCTCTATCCAAAGCAATACTAAGAAGAAGATGTAGACTGTACTTTCACTGTACCACAGAACTGATGTTCTTTCTTTCTCTCTTTCCTCTGTCTGATTCTCCTTTTCATGTCTTGTGTTCTTTTTTTCTGATGTCTGCCTCTTCCATTTGATACCCTGCAGGTTGTCCGGCCATATCAGACCATGTCCAACCCCATGAGCAAGCTCACTGTTCTCAACAGCATGCATTCCCACTTCATTCTGGCTGACAACGGGACCACTGGAAAATATGGAGCAGAGGTGAAACTTCGGAGACAACTGGAAAAGCATATTTCACTCCAGAAGATAAACACAAGTAAGTAGTGGTTGTTCCCACTGGCATGCCTCGTACGAAGTGTGCTGAAAGTGAATAACTTTAAGTACACCATGCAGCAATGTAATAAAAACTTAAGCAAGTTTTAAACACGAACCATGATTTCTACTGAGCCAGAGCTTAGAATGAGAGGAAGTCATCCAGAGGAGAACAATTGGAGGCATAAGAAGTGATTACACAATTAGTGACTCCAGCTTATGTATCATGTGTGAAAAAGTCAACTCCATCTGGGGTATATGTATGCAGATAAGCTTTCTCTTCAAACTTTTCATTCATCATCTGCATGGTACTCTAAGGAGAAAAGGCACCCTAGAGAAAATGCTTCTATTTATTAAGCTTTTTTTGGTGGCTAAACAGAAAAGCAAAAGAATCAGATTTTGATCTTAGCACCGATCTGGCTATGCAAAGTCATTTCAAAGAAATTGAACATTCACTCTCTAAGCTAAAGCATCATGTGAAACTATCTCCATGAAATTTTAATTGTCTCAATTTTAAGTATATATTCATTGTCTCTAGATATATATGGATTTAGATATAGACAGATATATATGTGAACCACATAGTACATCGTTACACTAATATTATCTCTTAAGTGCATAAGAATCTCTGTTTGCTGTATTTATTGTGTAAACATTTGTTTTAACTGTGAAAGGTAGCATCATCAAAACAGTAATGCTCCCCAGATCACTAAGTGGCTTGCATTTAAATGCGATTTAGGTATGAAAGCAATCTACTGTCCCGCCTCACAAAATAAAATTCAATTTGTTTTTATAAAGTAATAGGTGAGGCTGCATGGCAAGCTCAAACTTTGTGGTAATTAGATGTCCCATCAGGGAAACTTTGATCTAATTGATTGAAATTCCAAAGCCTACAATTCCAAGGAACAAAAGATTCCCTTTGACTAGATGAGTTTTCAGAGGTTCTGTGTACTGTGATTCAACTTGTCCAAATCACTTTTCTCTTCTCTAGATTTTTCTCTGCACCTGCCCCAAATGGGTCTTCATTGCTGTAGCCACCTTCTTCCAAAAACTGGGATGTTAGCTTCGTCAGACCACAACTTCTCCTTTCTACACTCTCTTTTCTGATCCCACCTTTTAGGGACTGCTACCATTTAAGTGTCATGTTTTGGGGTTTCATATTTTTCACAGTGAAACCTGAAATAATAAATTTTGACCTAGGTCTGAAATAAATATTATATTAGGAAATTTCCTTCCCCAACTGTCTTTGGAAAGAAGAAACACAAGTGTTATTATCCCAAGGTGAATATCTTCTGGAAACAAAAAGAGTAGAAAAGACTAGAAAATATACGGAGACCAGCAGAGATCAAATGTAACAAAGCACTGTGATCAGTGGGTGGTAGGTTTTGCTGTAAATACTAAAATTGAGTTCCATTACAGTACTTGATAGAATGGGCAAATGTTATGTAATCAGTGATATCTATTTAGGTTTTTATAAGTGACAGCATGACTCTTTGTACGCCATCAGGTTAAGAATGAGAGCTTAAATAGGACTGAGCTGGAAGCTGAAGAGGATGAGAGCAAGGAAACAAGGAATAAATTCACGGTCAAGTTCAGTACTTGGTAATAAGACAAAATCGGTCCAGACAGGCAAAGCATGTCATTGTGGCAGGCCCTGGTGGCAGCTGGGCTGGTTAGCCAGTAGTGTGGGTAGCAGGCCTAGGTATGTATTTGTGTAAGTTATGCACCCAGCAAAGGGGATGGGAGCTGGAGTTAAAACCCAGCCAGAGCCTAGGTTTTAGTCAAGCCTTGGTGCCTTCCAGAATGCCTCGAGGAAGGGGGTGCCTTTTTCTGATGGACCATCCCAGAGGGAGTGCCCTTTTGCAATGTACGTGCCTGGAGAGGTGCCTTTCTTCAGAAATGGCAGAGCTGCTGCGTGTATGGTTGGCACTGCAGGGGAGGCCCAGGGAGGCTCATGGACAGTGGCCTGGCCCCCTTGAGGAGCAGAAGCCAGCAGCATGGAGCGGAAGAGCAGGCCACAGTAGATGGTCAGCGTGTCAGGAATGCTGGAGGAGTCACCACCAGATAATACTAGTCTTTGGGTAGATCATCAGGGACACATCACATTCCATTTCTGGAAACACCAGACCTTTGCTAGATTATCAAGGCAGGTAGTGGCACATGGGCACATTGACAAGCAGGGACCCGTCAGGAGTCCAGAGTACAAAGGAGGGGAGAGGCACAGATCCGGGTACCACGGGACTTACTTTTGGGACTGTTTATATTTGTGGCTTCACAGATATTCACCACTTATATTTGTGGCTTCACAGAGGCCCACAGTCTCCTCTTCCAGTGAATATATTAATAATTAAATGGTAAGAGGAAAGTTATAAAAGCCCAAGAGAAATTCTGAAGTCACAGGAAGTGAAAAGGCCCAAGGTAAGGAATTTGTGCATGAGCTGTAGTGAATGTCAAGAGTTGGCTCCTATAGCAGTTCTATCCCTGAACTTAATAACGGTAGGGTGACCAACTTCTCTCGGTTTGCCTGGGACTTTGTTAGGTTTAGCAGTGAAAGTCCCAAATCCCTGGGCCCCCTCAGTCTGGGCAAACTGAGATAATGGGTCGCCCTACAAGTGAGTGACTCATAAGTCATTAGGTCAACTTCCCTCATTACTGTACTCAGCCCCCAAAGTCGGGCGGAGCGGCAAGCTCCTTAGAGGGTAGGGAGTGATCCAGGCTCTTTGAAATAGATAAAGCAGGACCTTTGAGGTCTCCATTCAGTTAACAGCAAAAAATGCTCACTGAAAACACAAAGGCCCTCCAGAACAGCACTGACAAAGACACAAAGACAGGCAAAAGTAGACCGGGTCTTAACATGAAAAGCAGTAGAAGAATACAAACCTTTAATGCAATCCTCAGTCAGCAATTTAGAATAGCAAATCTACTTTCTAACATGGACATTTTGTGGTTCTTCTTTTTAAAAATAAAATGTTATGGCTGGGCACAGTGGCTCACGCCTGTAATCCCAGCACTTTGGGAGGCCAAGGCAGGTGGATCACGATGTCAGGAGTTCGAGACAAGCCTGGCCAACATGGTGAAACCCATCTCTACTAAAAATACAAAAATTAGCTGGGCATGGTGGCGGGCACCTGTAATCCCAGCTACTCAGGAGGCTGAGGCAGGAGAATCGTTTGAATCCTGGAGGCGGAGGTTGCAGTGAGCCGAGATTGTGCCATTGCACTCCAGCCTGGGTGACAGAGTGAGACTCCATTTCAAAAAAATAATAAATAAATAAAATTTTATTCTCTAAGTTTATCCTAACAATTCCATTTACTTTTTCATTTCCTGCTTCAGAAGTTCAGGAAATCTGATTTACAAATGTGGAATTCAGTTTCCTGAAAATGAAACTCTATACCACAGTAACAGTGTGTACCACCTCTTACACTCAGGATGGCCCCAGGGAGGTCTGAACACCCCTCAGCATCTCCTTGCTAAAGTGCCATACCCTGTCATCACTTAGGGGTGACCTGCATACTGTAGCATCATCATCAGTTAGCAATGGGCTTTGTTTATAAAAGAGAAACCTTTCAGACATGAGCAGTTACCTGCCTCGCAATGCTCTTCTATCTGCCGTTTTTTAAACTTCAAATTTAATATGCAAGGAACAATTTCAGTCATTCCTTTAGTAAATAAATACTTACCGAGTTCCTGTTAAGTAGCAGTCATGGTTAAGGTCTAGAAAAGCAGCAATGAACAATTCATTGAGCTTACGTCAAGGGGGCAACCAGAGTCATAAGTAAGAAAACGACTAACTGTGTGGTGGCCGATAGTTTTTAAAAAGTGCTTTCGAGAAAAATAAAGCAGAGTAAGGCATCTGTCTGTGCACTTGTGTGCGTGCACATGTGTGTATTGAGAGGATGGTTTCCATTAGGTGATCAGGAATGGCTTCTCTGAGGAGCTATCATTTCTGCAACAATCTGAATGAAGTGAGCGGCCGGCTGTGAAAGAGCGTTCTCTGGAGAGTGAAAGCAGGAACTAAGCCACCAGTTGTTCAGTGAGGAGCAAGGAAAGCTTGGTAAAGAGTTGGAGCTTATTCTAACCAAGATTGGATCTGGGACATTACAGGATCTCTCCTGTAATGTATTTAGTATTTAAAACATCACTCTGCTGTTGTACGTACAGATTAGATTGAGATAGACAGCAAGATGAAAAACAAGGAAATGCCTTCAGGAGGCTATTGCAATAAGGCAGGTGAGAGGTAACTGGTTTGAAAAAGGATGGTAGCAGTGGAGGCAGTAGAAAGTGGTTGGATTTTGTGTGTTTGTGTGTGTGTGTGTGTGTGTGTGTGTGTGTGTGTGTCTGCATGGGGTGCGCGGGAGCCCTGCAGGGGAAGCCCAGGGACGCTCATGGACAGCAGCCTAGCCTCCGTGAGGAGAAGAGCCTAGCAGTGCAGAGCTGAAGAGCAGGCCATGGCAGATGGTCAGGATGCCAGAGATGCTGGAGAAGCCGCCATCAGATGCCAGTTTTTGGATAGATTGTCAGGGACACATCACATCCCATGCATGAAAACACCGGTCCCTTGCTAGATTATCAAGGCAGGTAGTGACACATGGGCACATTGACAAGCAAGGACGCAGTCAGGGAGAAGTCTGGGGTACAAAGTAGGAGAGAGGCACAGACCCAGATACCAGGGGACTTACTTTGGGGAACACACATACACACAGACACACACACACACAGAAGACAAAGCTTTGTTTTTGAAATTGTGGTAAAATAAATATGTATCACCTAGAATTTACCATTTTAACGATTTTTAAGTGTGCAATTCAGTTTCATTAAATACATTCACATCGTTTTTGTGCAACGATCACCACCATTCGTCTCCAGAACGTTTTCACCATTCCATACTGTAACTCTGTACTCATTAAACACTAACTCCCCATTACTCATTACCCCTTCCCCACAACTCCTAGTAGCCACTCTTCTACTTTCTATCTTTATGCATTTGTCTATTTTAGGTACTTC